TTGCTTCTACTGTATCGAGCTTGGTTTCGCTTGCGATAGTGCGCACTTTTTTTTTTCTCTTTCCTAGGGTTTCCGGTCATGGCGTCGGTGTCGTCGTCGGATCAAGGGCCTAAGACAGAGGCGGGATGCAGCGGAGGAGGAGGAGGGGAGAGTTCGGAGACTGTGGCGGCGAGTGATCAGATGTTGTTGTATAGAGGTTTTAAGAAGGCGAAGAAGGAGAGAGGTTGCACAGCTAAGGAGCGTATCAGTAAAATGCCACCGTGCACGGCTGGTAAAAGGAGTTCCATATACCGCGGAGTCACCAGGTACTGTGTCTGTGTCTGGCCCTTTTAGCTAATTAGCTTCAAATCGGAATTGCAATTTGTGATGGTGGGGATTGGAGTATAGGCTTTTGATTGTGAGTATGGAATGTTTGGTGGAGACCCTTTTGGTTAGAAATCTTGTTTGGATTTTGAGTTATCTGTAATCAGCTAATTGTGCTGAAAAAAAGCACTAATTTTGTTCACCCATTTTCAGATTTTAAGAATCTTGTGGCAGTAGAATTGTTTGAGCCATGTAAATGTTCTTAGCATCCTTGTTTTTTATGCCTTGTCTACATATCAAGTGTAGGTTGGTCTGTGTCATTAGGATATCAACACTTTGCTTTTCAGTTGCCGAATTCGTTTCATGTCTCAGTGAGTCAAGAGTTGAAGGCATTGTTCGATCCATGATTACGCTTCTGTGGGTTTGTCCCATAGCAGTAGGAGATGTTGATGCGTTTTGTTTCTTCAAATTTTTTAGTACAGGCATAGATGGACAGGTCGTTATGAAGCTCACCTTTGGGATAAGAGTACCTGGAACCAAAACCAGAACAAGAAGGGAAAACAAGGTTTCTCTTTTCTCTTCGCATCCGACAAAATTTCTTTCCTCATCATGTTTGGAATATCAAAGCTGATCATGTGTTTTTTCCTTGATATTTTCATGGTTGACGGAAATTTTGCCACACCAGTTTATCTAGGTAAGCTAAAAGCTTTGGAGGTATTTATTGTGTGTTTTGTATATCTGAACTAACTTGGTATCAAATTGGATTAGCTTTGACTAAAGAACCCAACTCATACTTGACAGGAGCATATGATGATGAAGAGGCTGCTGCTAGAGCTTACGACCTGGCTGCCTTAAAATATTGGGGACCTGGGACACTCATAAATTTTCCGGTGAGATTGCTATGGTAGTATGCTTTAAAGATTTGAGGTTTAAGCTCTTCAACAGTAATAATTGTACTGATCAATTAATAAGCATAAGTAGAAGAAGGATGATTACAGGTGTTTAGGGCCACCCTTCCCAGTTTTCAATATTTTTATGCACACTTACGTAATTCATATTGTAGGTGACGGATTACACGAGGGATTTAGAAGAAATGCAAAATCTTTCAAGGGAAGAATACCTTGCATCTCTACGTAGGTGCGTATGTATTTAGAAGTAATATGTTTTCTTTTAGGAACCAATTATTGCTGATACTATTTAGATATCCCTTTGGCAGGAAAAGCAGCGGTTTCTCAAGGGGGATAGCGAAATATCGTGGACTTCAAAGGTAAAATTTGACCAACAAATGACTTTAATAGAATCACGAGTCATCATCTCGGTCCATTTCACAGTGTCTATAAGGAAAATCTTTTAGTGTCACATTATAGAAAATCTTTAGTGACACATTATGGTTCATCAAAGTTTGATTGATTGACACATTTGCGAATTTCATTAGAAGTGTTTATTTGCTACTAGTAGGTAGAGCGATACGGCCAAGCTATCTTCAGACGTTTTGGACCTGTTGTTGTTTTGGCTGTAGCCCTCTTTCATTTTTGTCTTGTTTACCCATCTTTGTCACAATTAACATTCATACCTGATATGCATTTCTGCTGTTTTTCCAACTATCCTGCAATTCCCGACCAGCCGATGGGATGCATCAGCCAGTCGTATGCCTGGACCTGATTACTTCAGTAACATTCATTATGGTGAGTTTCTGACAACATTGACCCATCTTTGAAGCTGCACTGGACCATGTAAAACTTATTCTGTTTAATAACAGGGGCAGGTGATGAACGAGGAACAGAAGGTGACTTTCTAGGTAGCTTTTGTCTGGAAAGAAAGATCGATCTAACAGGATACATAAAGTGGTGGGGAGTCAACAAAACCCGTCAACCAGAATCTTCATCAAAAGCATCAGAGGATGCAAGGGTCGAAGATGCGGGTACTGAGCTTAAAACACTGGAACACACATCTCAGGCAACAGAACCATACAAAGCGCCAAACCTTGGTGTCCTTCGTGGCTCTCAGAGAAAAGAAAAACAAATATCATCACCATCCCCCACCTCTTCTGCCTTAAGCATTTTGTCTGAGTCTCCTGCTTTCAAGAGCCTGGAGGAGAAAGTACTGAAGATACAAGAAAGCAGCACAAGAGAAAACGATGAGAATGCAAACCGTAACATCATCAATATGGAGAAGAGTCACGGCAAGGAAATAGAGAAACCAGTCGTGAGTCACGGAGTTGCTCTAGGCGGTGGTGCTGCTGCTGTTTTGTCTCTTCAGAAAAGCATGTACCCACTTACCTCTCTCTTAACTGCTCCATTGCTCACCAACTACAATACATTGGATCCCCTTGCAGACCCTATTCTTTGGACACCATTTCTTCCCCCTGGATCATCTCATACTTCAGAGGTTTGTATTCATTTATCTATCTTCATACATAGAAGATTTTGAAACCGTACACACTTAAGTTGTTTACTTCAACATATCTTCCCTAAGTCGTATAATTGCTCTCTTCTGCAGGTGACGAAGACAGAGACAAGTTGTTCCACATACAGCTACCTCCCACAAGAGAAGTGAGCCGTTCCCTTTAGACTTTATGTATGTCTGATTCGCCGTATCGTGAGATGAATTTGTCGACTTGACATCTCTTTTTATCTCTCTTATGGAGAGAAAGTTGGGAGAAGTGTGACAATGGTCCGAAGCAGGAATGTACAGGTTTGTCAGTGGTTGTGTTTTTTCAGTGTGGAATATAGAATCATCATATTTAATGTAAAACAACAACAAAAAGCTATCATTATAGTATAAAAGTTTGCTCTTAAAACTTCTGCACAAGGTATACAAATTTGATTGTGACCGATCTAATCATGTCATCTCTACCAAATGTCAAAACAAATTTAATCTTCACATCGTGTAAACTCTGCACAAGACTCATCTAGTTTTAATACAACTAACTGAATCCTACTACCCAAACAGGGACTGAGTATATAACAGTTCCAATCGCAAAAGAAACCACAATGGTGAAAGACGCATATGCATAGGCTCTCCACGGGTAATCACTTTCTCTCATTGCATTGAACTCAGCCATTAAGGTAGAAACTGTGCTCAGACATCCCAGCAGACCAAACTGAATACCCGAAGACACTGTGTTACAAGTTCTTGTGTTAACCTGTTTACCAAAATAGATACAAAGAATGTTATCTCCTGTGATCTGTTTGGT